GTATATAATTACATATTACAAAGTATATTATATCTTATTTATTACATATTATCGATAGAAAATCGATAGAAGACACTTTCGCCTATATTACAAAATATAACACCAATACGATAATATAATTAAATATTAAACTTTACTATACTTTGCAGTACAGTTCTATACAGTTACATTCTACACAATTTGCCCCGTGCAAATGCACAAAAACGTTATGGTCTATTGGTCTACTCGTTAGCACTCGTCTGTTAATGAAATGCCACGTTCCCCACCCCCTATCGCGTCGTAATGTAATTATACATAACCAATACAAATTCCCACTGTCGAGCTGAAAAGTTTTTATTTCACCGGGCGCGAAGTTATATTATCGCGCGGCAATTTCCACCGGTGAAGGAAGAAAAACAGAGACGAAGGCCACGGAGAGAAAGGATAAATAAATTCGCGTGCGCGTCAGGCTGTCAAGCCTCGCGGGCGCGCCGATTATTGGGAATCGTTGTTAACAATTTACATGCAAATCAAAGATAAATGTTCGCGCGGAATAATTGAAATAGTCGCATTATTGATATACGGGCGATACCGCGAATAATAATGATTCCACGGCACGACAGAAATAAAATGCGATATTTTTCGGAACGCGGCGATGGCGGCCAACACGCGAGGCGAATAAATTTTCTGCTCGATCCTGCAAAATTTGTCGGTTAATCGCGACGGCGGCGGCGGGGGGAGAGGGAGGTGTGGGAGTTGGGGCAAAGTAGATCGAACGACGTAGTTACTCGCGACGTATAATGGTCGTTCACCTAATGACAATGGCAATTAGCATTGATTATTAATTTGAGCGTAATAGCCGGTGTATCGAGCCGGAATTGGCCAAGCTGCTTATTTTTGCGAAACAAACGGATGGTTATCGTCTGCTCTAGTTCGCCTCCCTAACGCAAATCCAAATTCGTTCTCGTTACGACAATCGACGTGGAAATATTCGTTTTGTTATCAGTCAGAGAGAAGGTGGGGGGGGGGGATGAGAGGGGGAAGAAATCTACCCCTTGTCAAATTTGAAATATTTCAAATTCAAAGAAAGTTTTGGTCGCTGAGCTTTGAACCACTCTCGAATTTCAGCGTCTTATATATGTTTAAAATCGAAAGGTCTAGTTGCAATTTGATAAGATCATTAAAATTAATGAATTTATTGTTATTATTATTATTGCATGTACACACATTACTTATTATTATTATTATTATACTAACATTATTATTATTATTATTATTATTATTATTATTGTTACTTATTATTATAATATTATATTATTATATTATTATTACTTATTATTATTATTGCATGTACACATATTACTAGTAGTACATACTTTCAATCGCACTGTGAATCCTTCCTGTCATATTTTGTTTTATCACACCTATTCTTTAGTCTGAATTTTTCTTTTTATTAAACAATTGTTTATCTCTCTCTCTCTCTCTCTCTCTCTCTCTCTCTCTCTCAATTGTTTATCACTTTCGTCCATCTCACAGTTCTATTGCTTTTACAATAAATATACACGTGTAATAATTATTACAATACACGTATATATCAACATATTCTAACAATTTAACAAAACTCGTAATTGAATTTCATTCAAATCTTTCAATTTTACTAAAATACATGTTAAATCGTTAAAAATTCCAAGCAGAGTCCTAAATCAAGAACTAGGCGTCTACATGCAATACTTTATTTAGACACTAATTCACTCATTAATGAAAAAGTTAAATTACTCTCGTCAAACGTTAGAAGTATCTAATATAAAAATTTGCCTTTGCGTACATGTCGCTGAATCAAATTTGTACTTGTCGCCATTGCACGCGCTACGATATATAGTACAAAACGATCAACTGTTTAAAAAAAAAATCACACGCTGAACTGTGAGAATTATCTTAAAGTCGAAACTTCGTTTCGTAACATTCTCCCCGCGGATTCGCGTTATGAAGTTCGCGCGATGTAAAACGCGCGTTCGTCGACGAACGTGCCCGTCGCGTCGCAATAAATTCGATCATTTTAAAGTTGCACTTTCGTTACACGCCGCGCATTCGTGCTGTTCCCTAAAAACTTTCATTCGAAAATTTATATCACTTAGTACGGTCGAGACGAACAATATGCCGCGGGATATTACGCGATTATTTGAAAACGGCTGACGAAACTTTTACATTTGGAGAATTATCACTCCGTTGATGATCCGTTGCGTTTATCAGCTCGAGCCGATATTTTTTTACAAGCTTTTGCTGCTGATCTACTTATTTGGTCTACTTGTTTGTATCTTATCTGACATTGTCAGAAATAAAAATTTAACCGATTCAGAATCATGTAGCAATTTAGTATATAAATATAGTATATAATATAGAATATTCTATATACTATATATACTGCATGCTATATAAATACTAGAATATACTCTGTACTATATAAATATAGTGTATAATATAGAATATACTATATACTATATATACTACATGCTATATAAATACTAGAATATACTCTGTACTATATAAATTTAGTATATAATATAGAATATACTATATACTATATATACTACATGCTATATGAATACTAGAATATACTCTATACCATATAAATATAGTATAATTAGTATTGTTCAGTTCTTGAAACTTCGTAGTATTATAGAAAGCAGTATACATTGGATATTGTTTATAAATACTATATATATAATGTTACATTTTTATTGTTTGTATGTATACCCATTCTACAGCTCTGCTATTACCTCTCCTTCTTTATTCAAACTGTCCACGAGTTAAGAATATTTAATCAGCAACAAGTTTCTTTTCATATTAATCTTTTATCAATATTTATAG